TTTTAGTGAAAATGTTTTCCCACCTTTTTGGTGGGAAAACTGTTTTCCAGGTAGCTGACCTTTTTTTTTTAAGCAATGGAAATAAATGTCATAGCCAATTGTAAAAAAAAAATCACTTTAATGGACAATTTTCATCTAAAACAAAGTCAAACGAACACTAAATTTTGACAAAAAAATGAGTTTTTAAGAAATACTTTTTGGCAATGGAAACAAATTTTATAACCAATTGTGAAAAAAATATCGTTTTAATGGACAATTTCTATGTAAAATAAAGACAAAAGAATAGAAAATTTAAAAATTTTTCGGGTGGAAAATTATACCAATCAAACACACTTGAAATATTTTCCCGACAAAACATTTTCTAGGCAAATCTTTTCCCTATAAAATATTTTCTTTCCACCCATTTTTCCACCCTTGCAATCAAACACATCCTTAGTCTCTTTAAATGCTAGATCTTGATAAGACATAACAACTAGAGAGAGATAATTTCTAAACCTAGAAGGCTCTCTAATTTCTCTCATAGTTCTATCCTTGATTAATTGATAATCATCTAAAATATATCTGTGACCCCTATCAACCTCTTAAACCTTTCCTTCTACAACATATCCTAGCTCCACAGACTCTTCTACTCCATTTCCATTTCGATTCTTATTAATAAGATCAGAAGAGGACCAAGCTCCACTTACAGCTTGGTCCTATTCCCTTCTTCACCACTAGGAACTCTCACAGATTTGTTGGCTGTTTTTACAGCTATATAACAGCAGAAAAACGGACCAGCAGCAAGGAGCTAGAAGCTGGACGGGCAGAACCAGAGAAGTAGGGGAAAACAGGGGAAATCTGGGAAGAAACTGGAAGAAGAAAAACAGAGTGCTGGAAGACAGGGAAGAGAGCAAANAAACTGGAAGAAGAAAAACAGAGTGCTGGAAGACAGGGAAGAGAGCAAAAAACGTGCAGCAGTCTTCCTTCATTAGGTAGTAGTACATCAGACCTTTTACATTATAAAAAGCTGAAATTTAAACCTACTACAATACACAAAATCAACCCTACACTTGACTATTTTACAGCCATTGGATTGGACAAAATAAAGAAATATTACTTTGACTTTGAAGACACATTACACATCAACATTAATTGACTCAAATAGCCATAAAATCATTGTTATTAAAATCGGACCGGACTGGCCGGTTCGATCCAAAACCCGTCGAACCGGACCATGGTCCAGTCCGAACAGTATATTTTTTTAACA